CTTTTTACCCCAGGGGGACCCAGGTGTGTTTGTTTTAGTTGAGGTGAAAGTCACAAAAAATAAAAGTAACCATTTTAATACACACAATTCAGTGGCATTTAGTACATCCACGATGCCATACGACCACCTGTCTACTTCCGGAACATTTCCATCACCCCAAAGTAACACCTCATCCCCATGAAGCAGGTATGCCCCATTGCCTCCCAACCCCAGCAAACACCAATCTGCATTCTGTCTTTATTCTGGGTATTTCCTAAAAATGAAATCATGCAATATGTGGCCTTTCATGCCTGGCTTTTTCCAATGTTTTTGAGGTTTATTCATGTTGTAGCACGTTATTAATACTTCCTTCCTTTATACATAAAGGGGTGTGTATCCACGAGTGCAATCACTAGGTCACAGGGCAATTCTATAGCAAACTCTGTGAGGAGCCACCAAGCTGTTTGCCACAGTGACCGTCACCCTGTCACCCACCCCCAGCAGTGCACCGGGCTCCGACGTCTCTACACCCTGGCCAACACCTGGCATTTTCTGCTCTTTTGAAAGTATGATTACAGCCATCCTAGCAGGTACAAAGGGATGGCTCATGGCTTTGATTTACACATTTCCCTAATGACTAATGAAGTTAGGCATCTTTTCATTTGCCGGCCATTTGCATATTTCCTCTGGAGAAAGGTACATTGAAGTCTTTTGCTCATTTTTGAATTGGGTTGTCTGTCTTTTTGTTGTCGAGGGCTCAGCTGTGCGGGGACAAGGTGGTGGCAGACTCCTCTGCCGCCTCAAGATGAACAATCTGGTGGTGACAGGCACCTCACACAGATGGGCCTGGGGCAGGACAGCCCTGGGGGCAAGGCCCAGCCCTGCACTCGGAGAGGCCGCACCTGTCCCGGGATGAGCATCCCAGCAGAGCAAAGACACAGCTAAACTGGGCTGGGAAGTGGGATCTGTGAGGAAGGCGGAGCAGGGCCAAGATGACTTAACTGGAGATGACTTAACACCTTCCACTGGCCTGGAGTGGCTGAGCAGGGGATCGGCGGAATCGGTGGCCAGCTGGCTTCTACTTCCACAGCAGAGGGAGGGGGGAGGAGGTGTGCACAGCGGGTGAGCTGAAGGAAGTGCTGCCAGCCCAGAGAGCATTGTGAGGACCCGAACCTGGCCGGATCTGCCAACACCTGGCACAGAACACAGACCACCGGGCGGGCGGGTGGGGGGTGTGGGGGGTCCACCCCCACCCGCGCGGCGAGCAGCGTCCCCATGGGGCATCACGCTTACTGCTGCCATCCCTCACTGAAACACCAGAGGTGGGACTGGCCGCAGTCACACATGGCCCAGCGAGAACCCTGATGCCCCATGGCTTCCCAGTGCCAAAGGGCACACGGCAGGTCAAGCTCGGTGGAGAATTTTCTGATCACCGAGCTACAGAGGGAATCCTGGTTTGAACGCCAGGTACTGCGAGCATACGTGTAGAGGAAGCTATGCCTGAGCCTGGGGGGGCAAAGCACTCTCTCCACACCGGAGGAAAGCACGGGCACTCTGGGGACACCTGCACGGAAAGGCCAGATGGACAGGGTGACGTGAGCTGGGTTGGCAGAAGTCAGCAAGAAAGGGAGGAGAAGACGTAAGAGTGACCCTATATTAGGTGTCAGTGGACCTGAGTTCAAGCCTAATGTCACCATTTACAACTTGCAGAATTCTGGAAAATTCCTTAACCACTCACAAGCCTTTCTTTCCTCATCCATTACAATGGGAATCACCAAACTTCTTCACTAGGATGGTGGTGGGATAACGAGTCAGCTCCAGCTTCACGGAGCCATCGCCTGGCAGAGCGCCCACCTGCGTGCGCTCGGCAGCCTGTCCCTGTTCAAATCCCCAGCTGGCCACTCACTCTCTGAGGGATCTTTGGCAGATGACTTAACTCCTTCGAGTCTTAGTTTGTTCATCTTTAAAATCGGAGTGGTAATAACAGAACCTATCACGTTGGGCAGTTGTATGGTTTACAAGAGTTAACACATGTAAACCACTCAAGGTGCCCAGGAAGTACCCCCAAAATTTAGCGAGCTATTATGATTAGACAACCTTCGGGAAAACAGTCCTTCCCCCTCAACTGTCTGCGTGGTTAGTACAGATATCTGCAGTGAGCTGAATGCCAACTCCAAATGCTCACGCCACAGGGGCACAGAATTTTTAAACAGGGGGATCTGTTCACTCTTGAGGAAGTGAAGAGACAGCCCAAAGGCTCACCAAACTAGGGGCATTCAGCCAGGTCTCCTCCAAAACCCAGTCCTGCCCCTGCCCCCAGCCCCATCCACCAACTGCCCACACTGAGCCGCGCCCATTCTTTATCCATCGTGAGCCAAGCACCACCCAGAGACCTGCGGTGAGGTTCCGTTAAAACAGTTTATGGAAAGGAAAGCTGCTCCTTCTGTCTTCGCCTAAGATAAGCGTAGTCAGAGACCGGAGAAGAACCAGGACGTCACCTGCAGCACTGACTCCTGGTCACAACAGAGACATTCTCAACGTCCCTGAGCACGGCACAGCAGGACCAGCATGCTCTCAGACACAGCTGGTGTTCAGCTCTAGTTCGGTGGCTATGTCTTTGGCAAGTCCCTTAGCCCCCCTGGGCCTCAGTTTCTCATCTGTCAATCAGGGAATCCACAGGGGTTGTAGTGATGAGACATAAGGAGCCCCAGAGTGCACCTGGCACACAGTCTCTTCCCGGATTCCAGCCCCACACTTTATAGCCGCTGGAGAGATGGCCCTCGAGAACCCCCGCTCCCGGGCTAGCCCCTAGAGAGACTCTGCAAGGCCTGCAAGTGGAGTGCTAGCAGCGGGGGACCCGTGGCCACCGGGCTCTGTCGCGTGGGTCAGCGAAAGCACGCTCAGGAGCACTCCAGGCTGCAGCTTTCCTGGTGACAGCTCCCAACCCAGACGTGCCTGGATCTATTTTAATGTCCAGAACAAAGGAACGTGGCTGTCAGCAAAAGGGAAAAGTTTCCAAGAGGAGCTGGGCAGAGGCTGGAAACAAAAGGGGAGGTCACCTATTTCTGGGGGTCCTGCCTGTTCAGCCTCCCCCAGACCCTGAGCGTAAGCCCTTGAGAGTGACCCTGTGGGAGGCTGAAGGAAAGTCTGCACCCCTATCCATTCCCAGAACCCTCAGTGGTTAATTACACAGGCTCTGGAGTCAGACTGCTGGCTCTGCAATACAAAAGCAGCCACTTTTAGCTGGGTGACCTCAGACATTATACTCAACCTCACTGATCCTCTGTTTTTCTTGTTTGTAAAATGAGGCTAATGACAGCACTGCATCTCCTAGGATGACCTCAGGAATTAAGTTATATAACAGATAGCCAGGACTTAACCACTGGATCGATGTCGGCTATGATTATTAGCTACTAATCAAATTATTACCATCAGCGAGTCATTTAATTTCACTGATCCAACAAGTGGGGGCTTTGCAGTTGTCCATCTGATAGAGATTCCCAGCAAATGAGGACAGTTCAGAAAAGAGGAAGGCATTAGCATGCTCTCCCAGATTCCTACAAGCTTGACCATCTCAGCTCAGGATTTCACGCCTGCCCCATGGAATAGAGGTTCTCACCCCCAGTTTGCGGATGCGGACACCACAGCTCAGGGGCCCAGAAAACAGAAAGTGAGTCAATTCTTTCAGGAACAAAAACAAGCTCCAAAAGCATCCCCTCCTGGTGCACATTTTCATCACCACTTCCCCCCCGCAAGTTCATGCACATCTGCTTCCAACCCCCAGCACCCCAATCCTCCTCTCCTGAGTCGAGGGTGGAGCCTTAATTCGGCATCCTGCCAACTGTTCTTCCCACCCTCATGTGGCAGAGCTGATCTCAGGGCAAGGGTGATGATGCACACGGTGTGCCTGGGCCCGCCCCTGCACCCCACCACCGGCACCTGGGGGCTCACCCCTCACATGCACAGCCTCTCCCCCCGGCCTCATCAGAAAAACTACCTCCCCGGGCGCAGCAGGCACATGCCGAATCTCGGCCGCAGTGACAACTGCAGCACCTACAGGGCTGATGTACAAACAGTCCTCAAAGAACAAGAGCGTGAGTGCCCTGCTTCTGTCTGGTTCCAAAAGCCTGAGGCCCAGCATCTTCCTCACAACCCTCCACTCCTGCAGGCTGGTCACTGCCTCCCAGAGGGGAGTCCTGGTTCCCTCTCCCGTCCCAGTGTCTCTGCAGGGGTTGCCCACGGCCCGGCTTTCCAACACACGGGCCTCCGCATTCCAGGACCCCCCCATCCTGCTCTGCACCACCACACCCACCAAGGACAGCACTGACCTCCCCCACAAGCAGAGCTGCAGTTCTCAAAGGTGCATCGCATCCACTTAGCTTTTAAATGAACAAGAGATGCCCACGGGTCTCTCTCCAGAGAGCTTGCCTACATGCTCAACATTATGCAAGTACCAGCTCATTAAAATAATCTCCAGATGTGAACACTAGCTTTCTTTACTCCCATTCTGCAGCTAGGGAAACTGAGGCTCAGAGAAGTGCCTGGTCTCGGGTCACATGCTCGTCAGTAACAAGGCCATGATTCAAACTCAGGCCTTCTCACGCTCAGACACATCACTTGAAACACTGTACTAGACTGGTTTTCCTGCTGTTTTTCCCACTTTAGGGAGGGGCAGCTGTGCCTTTCTAGTACCTACCCTGAAAACACAGCAGACATCCACATATACTCACTGATTATCTGAATGATAAATAGCAGCTGATCTATAAAGGGGGAGAGAGGCCTGTGTGACCCCATCCCCTTTAATTCGGAGAAGTCTCAACCGGTCTCTTGAGAGTTCATCCAGCAGCGAACATGGGCTGGCCCCACACTAAGGGCTTTGAAATACAACGTGAGCCCAAACTTGGTCCTCCCACCAGACAAGCTTCCAGGCTCACAGAAAAGCCAGACCCACGCGGCAGGAGCATGCTGTAGCAAAAAGCAGGTAAACGCCTGTGTGAGCAAGGGGGACGGGGCAACCAGACCTGCGGGGGGAGCCAGAGGAGGCTGGGTCTAAAGCCAAGATCGGTGGGCACTGGGCGAGGCAGAAAGCACCCCATCAGAACGCCCGTCCCCTCTCCGCACTGGTGACGGTGGCCTGCTTCACCTCCTCGTGGCAGGGGCCCCACGGCCGCACGCCAGGGTCCAGACACCTCAGGTGACTCCTCCATCCAGGGAAGCACGCCAGGAAGCCGGCCATCCCAAGAGATGCAATCTCAAGGTCCCAGATGATGGGAGTGTTGAACTAGAGGTCCCCCCAGGGGGTGGAGAACCGGGTGCGGAGCCCCGAAGACAACAGGAACACCGTGCACGAGTCACCAGGCCCGACGCTGCGAACACCGACCATCCCCGGAACACGAGGCCCGGGACGCCTGGAGGCGGCCGCGCATGAAGACCAAAGCTGGGTTGTGCTTCCTGGAGTCATACCATATGTTGCCTCCCCAGATGCCCCAGAAAAAGAAAGAAAAAAGGCAAATTCCAGAAAGATGAGGCAGCCACAATATGAAGATAGAGAATGGCATGAATGATGCGTGATGGAATTTCCTCCTGAGTCACTGGAAGGCACAGGAACCCGGCTCCGGCTCCGGGTTGAGGGAAGCCACTCGGGCCACGTGAATCGGCCCCTTGTTCTCTCTCGGGGAGAAAGTTAAACCAGGAACAAGCTGGGTGTGGAATGTGCACACTCCTATCCTGTTCTTCCTTTCCATCAGTCCCTGCCGCCCCCACCCCACCCCGGCCCCACCACCCCCTCCCTCCTCACCACTGCCACAAATCTCTGGCTGGGAAGACCCCACACCCACCATCCCTAGAGGGGTAACCAAGAAAACAGGGTCCTTTAAAATGATGAAGACTTCATGGAAAAATATAAAGATTTCACATTTCTCTTTCTGCAGCCCAGGCTTACTGACCCAAATCTGGTCATTTGAGCCTCTGTAATAATCCACGAGTCCATCCACAATGCAGTCTGGATTGTCTGTAGTAGGTTTTTTTCTGCCCACCAGCCCTGCCTGCCCCAACCCCCTTCTCCCTGATGGCCCCCAGGCCCATGTGCACCCAGCAAACCAGCAGAGCTGGGGTGTAACTCCCTGTCACTACCACCACCACCCCCCCAAAGTGGTTGACTTCTGGAGTCCCTTCAGGAGAACGGGACTGTAAATATAGCAGGCTAGGGTCCATTCCATCAGGTGCAAAGATCCAGCCTCCCCCAGGGCCCCCTCTGTCCATCTGGGACCAGAGTCCTGGCATCTCACGTGATAGGTTGTGACATTTTCGGGGCAGGGAGCAGGTGCCTGGGGAACGAGGTTGGGAGTCCCAGGGACGCTCAGAATCCCAGCTTCGGCCTCACTAGCTGGGTGCCCTAACCTGTCCAAGCCTCGGTTCTCAGAGCAGTGAGATGAGAGTCCCACAGCATTTACCTCTTGGGGTTGCTGGAAGCTTTATTTAAGTTTTGGCACATAAAAGCCATTCAATAAAGGGTAAATAACATACAAACACCGTGCAACCAATGTCTACACATCCACGGCCTCTATGACGTGATGCCCAAGACCTTCCCATCACACAGAACGGACGGGAATAAGACTCAAACACTAGACCATGGAAGCATCAGGAGAACACTGGCTTCTCTGGGCAGCAAAACAGTTTCCCCTTGCCTGCTGATGCCCCTCTCATCACAACAACCTGGGAACACAGGACATCAGAAGTGTCCCTAAGCCATGTCTCACCCACTCATCACACCAAAGGGGTACAGCCTGCCCTGCCCAAGCCTGAATTTCCCTTTTACCTTTGTTGCTATCTAAACGTTATACATCCTCAGGAAGATGCAACACGCCAGGGCTCCCTGAATCCAAAATGCAATGTCACCTGGGAACCTCCACGCCAGTGGGAGGTGTTTATTTTGGTGCTAACTAGAGAGCTACTGAAACCCCAGGAAGGGCTTCATTCAGCCTGCAGGCAAGCAGCCAACAAGTTTCTTCTCGTCTTGCTCTGGCTCTTGAGGCTTTTTGCAAGAATGCCCTAACACACGGTCGGTGCGCGAAGGCAGGGCGGGAAAGGCGCTCACAAGGGGAGGAAGAAGGACCCAGCTCATCCCAAGAGCTGCCACCACTGGCCTCCCCTTGGAGTGTAAGCATAAAAACGAGAGATCTCTGTGTCTTCCTCTTTGCAAAGACACTAGCCCCACTGCGGGCGGGGAGGTGGGGGGCACCCTCATGACCTCCTCTGAGCCTTATCACCTCCCAAAGCTCCCACCTCCGAATACCATCACTGAGGCTTAGGGCTTCAACATAAAAACGTGGGGAAGACACAAACATTCAACCTCAACAGAAGAGCCATGATGACCCCACTTTACAGCTGGGAAGTTAAGTAACTGGCCCAAGGCCACCCATCTAGCAAATGAAAGGACCAAGACTAGCGCCAGGCCCCCTGAAACCACCACACTCTGTTGCATATGAAGTGACCCAGAAGACTTAGATCATGGCGTCAGGTACCCCCCCCAGGGGGGGGGTGCGCTAACCTGCCCTTCCGCTCCTCACCTGCAGAACAGGCAGGGGTGACAGCAACAGCCTCTCCCGGCGCTGCTACAGTGACTGAATAACGTGAAGCCACGAAAACTACCAAAAGGAAGCAAATATGTACTCGACAAACCCACAGGGCCTCGATTTCTCAGCACGGTGCCCTGCACTTAGTAGGTGCTTGACAAAGACGAGCCAAATGCAAAGACCTTACAGGGCTGTTAGGAACTGCCTGCCCTCCAGACACTTAAGTAATGCGCATTCTCTTCTCCAGGTGAGGCTCCCCCTGGACCTCACCCCCGGGCATCACGTGGTGGCCTGCACCCCGTCCCCAGCAGAGACAGGGATGCTCGGCACACCCACGAGGCCTGCAGGTGGGAGGCATGGGCACCCACCTACAAAGCAGGAGGGGGAGGGCCTGGTGACCCCTCAAGCCACGCGTGCCCCAGGGACGGCAGGAGGCCATCGAGTCCCAGGAGGTGGGGCTTCCAGTGCTGCCACCAGGAACACCCCGGAACAACCCGGGCGAGTGGGTCACCCTACGACTAGCAGGGGCTGCTCCCAGTGGAGCATCATGGACACTGTTTTCAACCATTATGCCCTTCTATATATTCTATATTTTCTCCAAAGACCTTTATTCGTGTTACCATCAGAGAAAAGGTTTAAGAAGAAAACAGGCTAGGGCGTCTGGGTGGCTCAGTTGGTTAAGCAATTGCCTTCGGCTCAGGTCATGATCCCAGCGTCCCACATCGGGCTCCCGGCTCAGCGGGAAGCCTACTTCTCCCTCTGACCCTCTCCCCTCTCATGTTCTCTCTCTCTCTCTCTCTCAAATAAATAAATAAAATCTTTAAAAAAAAAAAAAAAAGAAGAAGAAGAAAACAGGCTATTTCACAGTATACACATTATTTTCCCCTTACCAAACCCAAATTTTCCATTTCTAATTCATTCAAAAAACGGGGGGGAGAGGGCTCTCACTTTGTGTTTGACCCTCTCTCATGCTCTCGTTTCTCTCAGCTTTTCCTCAGCATGGATCTTCCTTCCAGCACTTTCTTCTCCACGCCATCCACAAACGGCCCTGTTACCCTACTCTCCTTTACTGTCCCTGAGACACAGGCTTGGCTGGAAACCAAGCCCCCTCCTGGCTGAGACTGGCTCCCACGGTGGTCTCGGTGACACCCACGTCCCCCACAGTGGGGTCCCCAGCTCCTCCTCGGCTGTCCACACCTGCACAGACGTGGCCTCATCCAGTCCCCCAAGAGCCAGCCTAGTGACGCCTGGCCCAGCCACCCCTTCAGCTTTCAGCGCCCGTTTCTCCACCACCCCCACTTCTTTTCTTCTCTCTGCTGCCCACGCTTCGGCAGGGGGCAGCCGTGGCACTGCTTCTTTGATGCCCTGACTCTGGTCCTGCCCTCCGTGCCAACCTCATCTCCTTCCAGAATTCACCTCATTCTACAAGTAGGGAGCTGGTGCTGCTACCAGGCACTGCCGACCGGACACAGGGACGCAGGGCGAGCATCACTCAAAGAGCCCCCCAGCTCGCAGGGAGGGTCCCCCCCCCCGCCGCCAGCATGCAGGGGGTCCCAACGGGATGGCAGCAGGGCTACGCCTGACAAGGCGGAAAGTGTGCGTCCCCGTGCATCATGCCCCTGGGGACATCCACACATGCGTGTGCAAGGAAGCTGCCCCCAGCACTGTTTACAGTAGCAAAAACCTGGAAAGGACCCAAAATCCACCAGGAGGAGCATGAAGGAACGAACAGATCTGTAAGAAAGGGTGAGGCGCGACCGACTGCAGCCCACGTTCAGAAGAGTGGTACTTCTGGGAAGGGAAGGAACTGGAAGGGGAGCGGAGAGCCCACAGGCTTCCACTGTATCTCTAAATTGTTCTTATTTCTTCAGAAACCAAGATCCAAAGCACACACGCCACCTCATTTAAGCCCGGTTAATCCTGGGGTAGGAATGGGGGAGTCTGTTAAATGACCCTCTACGGCTTCTTGTTTTGGGCCTCAGATCTGGATATCATGCAAAGAGACAAACAATCCCCCAATCCGAGCAGGTTCTAGAGCCTGGCAAGTCAGTCTGAAGGACTCGGGAAGCAGAGGAGAGCAGAGCTGGTGGCCCTCACAGTGTGCCCAGCATCCCAGCATGGCTTCCGAGGGATGCTGGGCCGCCCGCGTCCCGAACACACCTGGCCTTAACCTTGAGCAATGTGCTCGAACCCATCATCTGTGTCACCTCCAGACTCCACTGGCAAGAGATCAGGCTCAGCCATGACAGTCCAACAACAGCCATGCGGGCCGGCTCTCAGGCACTTTCCCAGGGGCGACTCCTTTGGTCCTTTCAACAAGCACATGAGGGACAGGAAACATGGACCACCACCTCATCGAAAGACGAGGAGCTGGAGCCTCAGAGAAGTCCCAGGAACCGCCTGAGCTGACTCAACAACTGGAAAACAGGGCAGTCACAAAAGGAACCTACTGGCAAGTCGGACTTAAGTTCAGGGTTTACTCTGTGTCAGGTTCAGAGGCGGGGACTCATAACTGGCCAGACTTCACATCTCAGGTCACATAATTTTCACAAGGACCAGCTCCAGGTAGGAGGAAAGTAAGGTCCAGAAAGACCAAGTGTCCCCCCCAAGGTCACACAGCCAGGAAGCCCCAGGACATACACATGGTCCTTGACTTTCTAACGTTCCCGGACAACCTCCCTAGAGCATCTCTCCATCAGGAAAATTCTTTTTACAATGAGCATCATCCCGTTCTCTGGAAATGCAACACAGTGTCCGGGCCCCTGGGTGCGCAGAAAGCTGGGAGCTGGTCCTGGCTGATGTTTATTTGTCTGTCTCCTGCTAAACCCCAGGGAGCTCACCAGAGGAGCTGCTCTGGCTGCAGCCGGATAAGGCTCCGGCAGGGGAGGGGAGGGTCAGGGCAGTTCCTGGTAATCAGGTAGAGCTGACCCCCTCTCCCCAGAACCCCCACCCCATGGCGGGGGGGGGGAGGGGTCATAAGACGGCGGCAGACAGAGCAGACACAGACATGAGAGGGAAAGACCCCCACCCCCAGCCACTGTCCTGCAAAACCAGGCAATATGACCAGAAAAAGAAAGGGGACAAAGCATCCCCAGCCCCCACCCACCAGAGGAAATAACCCACTACCCAGAGAGCAGCCAGCGAGCCTCAGCCAATGCAGCCCATCAACGACAGCAATCTTCCTGCCCAGCTCTGGGCTCCAAAGCCTTTCCCCTGAAGTTTCCATTAGCCGGAAATGGAGAACGCGTCTGGAAACTGTATCAGTCAACAAGAGCCTGCCCTCTGTCAGAATAAGGGGAAAAAAGTTTCCTTTTTTTTTTTTTTTAAAGGCACCTGGGTCGGTGTGCCTGGGTGGCTCAGTCGGTTAAGCGTCTGCGCTCGGCTCAGGTCATGATCTCGGCGTCCTGGGACTGAGCCCCGCATCGGGCTCCTCCCTTGGCGGGGAGCCTGCTTCTCCTTCTGCCTGCTGCTCTCCCTGCTTGTGCTCTCTCTCTCTCTCCCTCCCTCTGTCAAATATATAAATAAATAACATCTTTTAAAAATAAATAAATAAAGGCACCTGGGTCTTTCGAATTTCTCACACAGCCCCTTACTCCCCCCCACCTTTATAGCTGACAATTATCCCTCCAACTTGGTCCAATATGCTCTCCTTCTCCCATGATGGCCTGCCTTGCCCACCCTGGTGGCTCCCAATGACCTTCTCAGGTTAACCAGGCACCATAAGGAAGACTCAGAGTCACCCGCCCTGGCCCAGTGGCCAAGGCCACAGTCCTGCCCCACCGCGTGAGAGCTGTTTTATGCAGTTGCTATAATCCTTTGATTGCCTCCAAACTCGCTCAGGGATAACAGGGGGTTGGAGAAAGGGTGGGAGGTCAAGCAGAGACCGTTCTGGAATCCGCTCCCTTCATTAACTTCGGAATTCCTCAGGCCAGTGTTTTCTCAAGCCTTCTTACCCTGAACACTCACCGGAGAGAAGGGGGCTGAAATCCTCACATCCACAGGCTCCAGCTTGAAAAGCCAGGACCCGGTTTCCTGGGATAAGGGAGAGGTAAGGCCAGCAGCCACCAGGCCCCCCCCAGGGAAGAACTAACATTCAGAGAGTAAATATTAGCTGACCACACTGAGGTAAGAACTAGAGATTCAGCAGTGTCATGGTTCCCACTTCGCAGATAAAGAAAGTGAGGTTCAGAGAGGTTTAGGAACTAGAGCAAGGTCACACAGCTATGGAACGGCACTCCTTCAAAACCTGGTTGTGTTTTGCTCTAAAGACCACATTCTTCCAGTAATTGCAGGTATCACTCTAAGAGGGCAAGGATCTCATCTGACACTCCCATCTGCTTTGAGAGGTAGGATGCTGAGCAGCTGGTGGGCCTGGAACCCAGGCAGACCACTTACATTAGCACTAAGGCCTGTGTGTAATTCAGGAACTGGGCAGTGCATCCGACACCGCAAACAATCTAAGCTGACCTCCCTGCATCATTGCTGAGATGACCCCTTGCTAATGCAGTACCCCCTGCCAAAATGCATGTGCCTTTATGTTCCACGATGGGTCAACATCAGAGGCTGAGATATAGTAAGGCCTCAATAAATGTTTGCCAAATACATGGTAAAAGAACTAGCAATGCCAAAGTCTTCTGTATTTTCCATAAAACCCAATGAAAGCACTGTCCGTACACTGTTTAACAAGCTTCATATAAAGACCACATCTTGGGGCACCTGGCTGGCTCAGTCGGTAGAGCATGCAGCTCTTGATCTCAAGGTTCTAAGTCCAACACGTTGGGTGTAGAGATTACTTAAAAATAAAATCTTAAAAAAAAAAAGACTACATCTTGTAACAAATTTTTCTCAGTGTTTATAATCCAGAAGTTGTTCTTTTTCAATGACAAACAGTCTTCCCTCATTTAGACCAAGGGGCAAACTACAACCTATGGGCCGAGGGCCAGTCCTTATAAATAAAGCTTTATTGGAACACAGCCATGCCTATTCATTTACCTACTGGCTATGCCTGCTTTCCGGACGCAAAGGCAGAACTGACTAGTGGTGACAGAACTGTGTGCCCTACAAAGCCAAAAATATTTACTACCTAGCCCTTCACAGAAAAGTCAGCCAACCCTTGACATACACAGACAAACAGAACCCACCCAGTGTGTTGGGCTAACTAGGAAGTCAGAGCAAAATTTAATGTTAAATTTTAGTAACTCACTCATCCTCAATGCTCTTGTTTCTATATGCCTACAGATTTTGATTTTCTAACTCCATTTCAACATTTTATTTAAAAACAGCTGGTATTCCCTGAGTGCTTATTATATGTCAGGCACTGAATTAAGCCCTTCAATATGTTCTCTTATGTAATTCTCACAATGAACCCATGGGGTAGCTAATATTATTCCCTATTTACCGAGGAGAAATGAGTGAAAAAAGGAGTGAATGAGTCACCAATGGACTTCATAGGCGGAATATTTACTATTTCATAATTCAACCTCAGACAGTAATAGAGGAGGTGATTGGAAAACTTTGGGTGCTCAATAAATATAATGAATTGCCCATGCCATGATCAGAGGCTGCCGTCAATTCGAGCAGAATTATAGGATTATAAAGTCCTATCGTTCTGAGATTCTTTTTGTTCTCCATCTAGCTTCAGACTGAGCTGTGTAGTCCCTTCATCGTGCATCTTCTGGATTTAGGGAGGATCACGGTGAACTACGGCGCAGACATGTTCCTACATGAAGCAGAGCGTAGACCCCACTCGGGTCAGGGGCAGAGAGACACCGTCTCCGGGGGTGTGGCCAGAGCCATGCAGCCGGAGGGGCACAAACTACAGAGGACTGCACTCCAAATTCGGCCCTCTTCAAGAGGGCTGTGTTTACTTGCTGCTACCTTAATATTTTTACAAAATTGGCCCTTTTTTTAAACTCAAAAATCTAAGCCCTACGCTGTGATAACTGCAAAATAACAGGTCTCCTCTGTCAATTGTGATCTTTTTCTAATTCAAGAGAAGGTAAATATAAAAGAATTATTTTTTTTTAAGTCAGCCTGCCCCTCAATAACCTAAAGGCATCTTGAACAGCTCCCCACACACTGAGAACCACTGGCCCAGCAGGCAAAGGGACGTTGAAGGCTAACAGACTGGAGTGTGTGTACCAGCTTCTCTGCTCTCTCCAGAGATAAGTGATAAGTTGGGAAGCTTTCTGGATCTCTCTGAGCCTCAGTTTCTTCATACAGAAAAGGGGCACCACACCCACCTCGCCGGATTGGAAGGTTAACCAGGCACATTTCCAGACATTAATAAACACCAGCCATGAAGCAATCTCATGGCTGTTTGCTGAGAAGCCTGGGCTGCAGATTCAGCCTGGAGAATGAGTCACAGCCCTTCCCTCAGCTGAGCCCGTGCAGACTCCAGGGGACCCGGGCTCCCCTGTTAGGGAACAGGTCCACGGCAATAAGCCATCTCTAGGAACGCTGGCTTGTGGTGTCTGTGTCGTTGGGAGGGCAGCACTGCACCCCTAGCCCCTGGATGAGTGTATGTGCTGTCAATCACCACAGGGGCCCAGCGAAAATAAGCAAATAAATAGAGGGTCAGCTCTGGCAGCAGTCTGGGGGAACTGAGCTCAAAGAGAAACGGGCTCCTCCAAGCAGCTAAAGATGGACTTGTGAGATAGGGAGATGAGGCCAAGCTCATGTGCTATACGCAGAAATGCAAACTGCCCACGCAGCCGCAAAGGGGGACCTGGAGGTGCCGCCGCGGACACAGAAAATAGCACCAGCAGCACCAGCACCAGGACCAGCACCAGCACCAGCACCAGGACCAGCACCAGGACCAGGACCAGCACCAAGTGCAAGACCAGCAGCACCAGCACCAGGACCAGCACCAGCACCAGCACCAGGACCAGCACCAAGTGCAAGACCAGCAGCACCAGCACCAGGACCAGCACCAGCACCAGCACCAGGACCAGCACCAAGTGCAAGACCAGCAGCACCAGCACCAGGACCAGCACCAGCACCAGGACCAGCACCAAGTGCAAGACCAGCAGCACCAGCACCAGGACCAGCACCAGTACCAGGACCAGGACCAGCACCAAGTGCAAGACCAGCAGCACCAGCACCAGGACCAGCACCAGCACCAGCACCAGGACCAGCACCAAGTGCAAGACCAGCAGCACCAGCACCAGGACCAGCACCAAGTGCAAGACCAGCAGCACCAGCACCAGGACCAGCACCAGCACCAGCACCAGGACCAGCACCAAGTGCAAGACCAGCAGCACCAGCACCAGGACCAGCACCAAGTGCAAGACCAGCAGCACCAGCACCAGGACCAGCAGCACCAGCAGCACCGTCCACCAACTAACTGATAAGTCCAGGGCCACTGGGTGGAGTCTGCCCAGCGACAACCTGATTTACACCTGTCGTCCCAGAGCAAATGTTGGCATGCTGCTTTCACTCGCAAGGGTCCGGACTCAGAAAGTAGACGGTTTGCCTACCAGTAAGGGGTATGAAGGCCCAGAGAAGAGAGGTAACCTGCCCGAGGTCATACCGTCACCAGGGGCCAAGAAGGAAGCAGAAATGGGTCCCTCAGCTCCAGACAGGGAGGCCCAGTGGTTCTGGCTTCCAAGAGAACTGTTCAAGTCCTGCCCTGAGAACTGCTCTGCCTTTCTGTGTTCCAGTTATGTCAAGAGGAAAACATCAGACTGACCGTGCTTACCCCACAGGTCTGTTCTGGGCTTGGAATGGAATAGTATCTGCCACACGCCCTGCACAGAGTGTGGCTTAAGAAATGGTTTTCATTTCTCTGTCAATGTCCACAGGGTACAGCCCTGCAGATGTGGGGCAGGGACTCAGCGGCCAGAGAGGAGGGGCCCAGCGGAGCCTTATTCCTCACCAGGACCCTTCTGCATCTTCCGATGCAGAGCCCACCCTTGTCCTCCTGGGAGGAGCAGGAGATAACCCAGACCACAATGGGTTTGTTCTGGGGAGCAACCGATAAAAACAGAAGTGGGGTTCTGGGTCATGTGATAAGCGGGGGCACAGCTGCCACAGCAGGAGGGTAGGAGAAAAGAGCAAGAAGATGCAAAGGCCTGGGGGCAGGGCTGCGCCCCCGTGCTCCCAACTCTTCTAGCTGAGGCCCTCAGGCCCCCAGGACTGTTCTGCTCACCACTGCAAACCCAGCCAAGCCTCCCCGTCCTCAGAGTGCTCCCAGACCTTCAACAGCCCCCTCCTCAGACGATTCCCTTCCCTGCCCTGTTTGGCCGTGGTGCGGTGGGCGTCACACCCATCACAGGGAGCTGCAAATCCCCACCCACCCAAGGGCACAGGCTCCTCGCAGGCCGTGAGCCTCCAGGGGCTGGACCGCAACCCCGGCCCCACTTCATCCTGCCTCCTCACACAGGAGGGAGTCCTTACTGAAAGTCTGTCTCTCCCGGAGGACAGAGAGGGTACCCAGTTCTGAGGAGTCCAAGAGCATTCCTCAGCAGACCGTGCTACACGCACACACGCCCTTCTAAAGACCTCGAAGGAAAAGTCTTTACCCTTCAGCTGAATTGGCGTGATTCAGCATAAAACACCAGGCAGCTCCTGGCTTCCTGCTCAGCGCTCTCATGGATTAGGAATCTCGGGTGAGTTACGTGGCCCCACGAAACCTCCCAATTCTCCGCTATACAATGTGCACACCATTGCCCCCCTAGTAGGACGGTGGGCTGATGAAGGTATATAGATGCTCAACAAGAGAGCACTTCCCTTTTGTCTGTCCTTTTCAGGAACACCGAAATAAAACCACTAAGAGTGACCCTGTGATCTGATCAAGGGAGATACAATAAATAAGTCGCCTCCAGACAAACCTGTTTCCTGACCTCAGAGAGACTGCTTTCCAGGGTGGGGAAGAAAGACACGAAATCAGACAACCTGTGTATGTGAGCAACACATCACAACACATCTAGGCGCTCTGATTGAGAATAGTGGGGAGGGACCACAGGGACCTTATTTCCACTAGGAGATCAGGGAAAGCCTTGCTGAGAAGCGCCCCAGGGCATGAGTGGAACCGGGAACTCAGTCAGAATCAAACCCCAGGCCCTACCTCACTGCGGTCTTGGCAGCCATGTGCCAGGCGGTCCCAGGTGACCTGCACCAGGACACTGGAGGTTTGAGCTGCCATTCTCCCACAGGGAGCCCAACGCTAAGGCAACATCCCTCCGAGTCACCAACATCAGAGCTGCCAAGTCAGGACCGGGGAGGTGGGGGTGGGGGGGCCAGTCCTTCTGCTTGCCAACTGCAGAACTGCCGTCGGCCTTTGCGGCGAAGTCCAAGTCTGACTGCTCCCTCCCTCATGCGGACACAAGGCTCCTTTCCCTTGCCTGTTACTGCCTACTAGCCACTCGGCCTTCCCACAAGTCCAGGGACGGTGATCTCCGATCAACCGTCCATGCCAACCAGTACCCCGTGTGAAGTCCAGCACGACCCACCTGACTCTGGTTCATGGCCCACACAATACCCACCCTCCCCAGAAGCCTTCCCCCAAACCACAGTGACCCCACCACATACACACTATCTGCTGCGTGCCAAGCGCGAGCATCTATTTTGAGATCCTCGACACCAACCCTGCGAAGGATGATGACACATCATTTCTATTGAAGAGAGAGAGGGAAAGCATCCAGCAGTCACTTGGCCTGAGTCACACAGCAGGTATGGGGCAGAGATCCCAGCCCAGGCCTTCTTGCTCCACGGGCAGCCTGAGGACTCTCAACAGTGTGTTTCTCGCTCTAAGCACAGAGCCATGCATACTTGCCCTATTTACCCTCAACGTCTTACCTCATTCACCATCACGCCTTAATGCCCATTCCACAGCAGGAAGATACAATGCTCTGTCTTCAAAACTCACTTCAAGGCCCCTGTGGTCTGGTGTCCGGAGACAGGCCCACGAGCCAGGCAGTCAGGGAAGGCTGACGGGCACGATGACGCCCATCAGCACAGGGAACCAGGGTGCTCCAGGGAAGCTCCTTTCAGTTTCCAGCTGTCTCCCCCACGCACCCAGCACCCGAGCACACACGGAGGGAGGTCAGTAAATGCCATCTCCCCTTGAGAACCGGCTCTGTCACCGTGACTTCTGTCCCCCCCAGCCAGGCCAGTGTCACCGAAAGCCCAGGTGAGCACCTGATAGAACACACAGGAGCAGGTGCACGAGGAGGGGATGGGCCTTACGTTTCACAGGGCGCCCTCGGGGAGGCTGGCAGCGACCCAACCAAACACTCATGCGGAAATAAGGGCAGAGATCTCAGGCGTCCCAGGAAGCTGCGGTCTTCTGTCCCCCACAAGCGTCCAGGTGCAGGGATCCGCCAGGCGCTCAACCAGGGCCTTCCTGAAAACCGCCATTAGCATCCAAACGTGTGATTCCAGAGAATGCTTCCTCCACGGTCCTCCCCCAGGCAGCTGAATATCACTGTAAATCCACAAGGCTCCGGAAATCCTTGAATGCAGCTCCAGGCAACTGACAAGGCACAGCCATCGTAAGGGGCAACTTTTTAATTCCTTTCTGGTCCAAAGATCAGGCCTGGGGATGCAGAGAAGAAAAATCAATCTTGTTACAATCATGGACCCAGAGCAGTAGTCATGTCCTTCTCCCTTCCTTATATTTGACCCTAATACACTTAGAGGGAAACTCACTAAAAATAATGCCCTGTAGGTCTGATCCCCAAACGGAGGTGAGGCAGGAAATCGGGGGGCCTTCAGGGGAGAGTCACTTCGCACAGGCACCAAAGACCTCTCAGATCCGGAACATTCTACTGCTTGGGGCTCCCCAAAACTACCCTGAGAGGTATGCCCATTATCAAGAGGAGGAGAAAAGGTTCAAGAAGGGGTAGGGGGCCAGCTTAGGCAGTCAGCAGTTGGGCCAGGCCTGGCACACAGTCCTGAGCTCCTCTGCTGGGCTGAGAGGTCCTGGCAGAGAGCTGAGGGGGTTGGGGGTCAGTTCTTTGTTTTGTTTTGTTTCTTTTTAAAGACAACCGCAAAGCTCTGGCATCAGGCCAGGCCTCCTCCTGCACCACGAGTGTCTTCGGGGCAGGGCCTGGGGCCTTCTCCTTTTTATATTCCTGTGTGCAGCAATCACTGAGCACCTGCTGGGTAGGTACCCAGGACTGTTCCGGCCTTGCGGGGACACTTCTGCCTCCCCAGCATGGCGTACTTCAACTATCCTCAAGATAACTGAAGAAACACGTGGGTGCAGGATGCAGAGGGCTCGAGGTTCAACAGTCACCACCCACCCAAAGGTAAGAACGACTGCCCCCTACGGACGGCCTATCGCTCCCCCTGAAGGCTCAGGCCCACCATTTGATACAATCGCCCCACCACCCTGGGACTCCTGCCTCTATTTTCCAGATAAGGAAACAGAGGCACAGGCCGCTGCCTTGCTCCCAACAGCTAAGAGTGGAGCCTGAATCTGGAGCCGGTGTGTCTCCCAATTCTGTGGGACAAGTGAGGACGCCCACCTGGAGCGACCGTACCTACAACTACCAGGCATTTCACGGGCATAACAATCCTCATTTACTCCTCTAACAACCTTGTAGGTTACAGCCTACTCTTACCCAATTTGAGAGATGAGAAACCAGAGGCCCAGAAAGGTGAAGCAAACTGCCCAAGGTCACGCAGCTGGAAAACCACACAACCCCACGAGCTTGGCCATTTCAGCAACCGTCATCAAGAGCAACTGTTTCGTTCCTGCGGTAACTTCAAATACTTAGTGGCATAGCACAACACAAATTCATTATCTTACACTTTTGGAGGTCAGAAGTCTAGCGTGGGTCTCATCCAGGCATAATTAAGGGGGTTGGCAGAGCTGTTTCTTCTGGAGGCTCTAAGAAAAGTCCGTTTCCTTGCCTGTTCTACCTTCCAGAAGTGGCTCCCTTCCTCCCATCTTCAAATACAGCAACATGGCACCTCTGACCCTGCTTCCACCAGGATACCTCCTTCTCTGACTCTATGGCCTCCCTCCTCCACTTTCAAGGACCCCTATGATTACATGGGGCCCACATAGATGACCCAAGATCGATAACCCCAGCTCACGGTCCTAAGCTTCAATCTTAGCTACAAAGTCCCTCTTGACATGGAAGGCAGCATATTCACCCCCAGGTCCTGGGACCAGGGCATGGACATCTCTTGGGGGGCCATTACTCATAGAAACAACATGCCATCCTCTGTTTTAAACGTTCTTCAGTGGCCAAGGGTCACAGGATGAGCTCCCTTTGTCCCATTTAAACCCACCTGACATAGCTTTTAGACCCAAGAGAGAGGTGGGTTCAAAAGGAAGTTTAAGTATCTAAATATCAGCCCCTAAGAGAGAAATACAGGATAGTGGTTAAAACATCAACGTTTGCAGTCAAACTAAGAAACTCACTAGCTATGTTACT